TCAAGCAGCCGCACCTTCTTATCTCATCGTATCATATCTTCCATGGGCTTACACTCGTCCAACAATTACTGCCTCACACCTTATCGATTGATAACGCGAGGGTAGCAAATCCAGCGTGGAAGCCAGCGTGATCGCTTCCTTTAAGCCAGTGCTAATTTTGCACACTGTGGGACAACCTTTTTGGGTTTGACGAACTGGTCCGTTAGGGTATGGGAGATAAGCACCAAAATCCTTCTTCAGAGGTCCACCACCAAATTCTTCGCTCGGTTCTTACCCTTTGTGTTCTTATGGAGATCTATGGCTAAGTCTACGAGGAGAGGCTTGTGCTATCAGTTTTTCGCACGCAGAACTTGATGTCCTTCACAGATTTTGGAAACTTTCCTCTTGCGACCACATAGTTGATTTCCTTTGGTCTCCCGTCACTGTTGCAGATAACTTTCTGGGTCTCCTTGTTTGTGTGGCCAGGTAGAGGACCCCTTCTTCGGCGTTGCTCAGTCTTCAGTACATGTTCCTCCTTGGAACGGTGTTGTCGCAGCGATCCATGTCGATTCAATATGGTAGGTGTAAGGACTGAAAGGCAAACAGTCCGTTGTTCTTATTTACTTTGGGTGTGCGCCACGTACTCCACTGTAGAATCGTACTGGCATTTGATGCGGCTTGACCTTTGAAGTGGTTAGCGGGAGCCAGCCAATATTAAACCGCTTGAATCCATTACTCCATTACGTGGTAAGCATTGGCACTTGACACTACTCCAGTTCTGTGCACAAACTATGGTGATGGTAGATTTCGGTGATATGAAAGCGCTCCTATTTGCATTAAGTCGACTACATTACGACCACCCGGTTGTCTATCAAAAAAAAATATTTCATGCCCAATAATATTTGGAATTTTTTATCGCCGGGTATGCATATAGGTGGTGTTTTTTTCTAAATAACGATTTCTAAAACGTGCTTCTGTGGCCGTATATAAATTTTTTAGTCTCAGGGTGTATCAAACCCACATTGGTCAACATTTTCATATTCAAAAATGTTATAAAGACGAGGAAACGAATAATTCTTTTCATGTCGATTACAGCTGAAATTTCGGATTGCATGATAAGTTGTTTCACCTTTAGAACCAAGCGCATGATCAGGCAGCTTGCAAAACTTAAGGCTACGACTTATTTTCAAAACCCTGAAAAATAGGAAATGGAGATGGACAGCAGGGCCAACCTTTGGTTGTACCATGTCCAACGGGGGAGATCACCTTGGAGGGTAGAAGTCTGTGAAAATCCTTAACAATGACAGAGAAACGTTGGCTCTGCCAAGCAGCAAAGTTTATTTAGCACATCGAATTGGTTGCATAAAGCCAACACATTTGACACGGTGACTGACCCATTTTTGCTTGAACAATCTGCATGCGACTGCTCGCATGAACTGTTCGTGCATTGCCAGATATGTATGCACGTGTTCAGTGAATATTAAATCTGAACATGGGTGGCAATCAACGCGGGCGTCAATGTGTTATTAAAACAACCCTTGATTTTCTCAGAAGTGAGCAAAACAGAAAGAATTATATGTGTGTTATCCTTGCAATACAGATACATTTCCAGTTTCTCCCGTGAGCAGATGTTTGACGTTGTGTCTGATGTCAGAGAATATCGGCATTTCATACCATGGTGTCGGCGGTCAGACATTATTGAAATACATGGGAACGCACGAATAGGCGAGCTCGAAATCGGATTCCCACCACTGAACGAGAGTTACCGATGCCGAATTACTGTGCTCCGGCCATCAGTCGTTCACGTAGGTTCCATTAATCTTATTATGTGATAATTCATGTAGGGCTTGAGATAGGAGATTGAAATCTTTTATGGCAAGCAACACAAACGCTCGACTAACTGCTTAGTCATGAAAACTTCCTCTCCCCATTCTTCTTACACGGCTGCTGAAGGTAGTAGCATGTGAAGCACATAAATGAACTAAACAGAAAGAGCCAGAGATGGTTTTGATGCCCTAGAAAGAGCTTCATTTTCTATGTAGTTTCTTTTTATAATGCTGTAGAGCACCGTTTCCTGGTAAAGGAGAACCTTAACGAAACAAAGAAAACTTCTAGACACTGTAACTTCTCCCGAAAGCCTTCCAATTTTTGCGGCATTAGTATTAGTACCCGCCTATTTTTTATCAACATAGAAGGAAATCCTCAGGAGGGGCTTCAGAAGAACGAATTCATTATGGACTTGACCCGTTTATTTTGCACATACGCTGCTGGTCCAAGACAGTATTTGCCTTGCAAGCATGTTCTCTCTTTCAGTCTATTGTGATTGGTGAATCAATATTCAACACACTGGAGACGACTTTTAAATTCGCAAAAGACACCGACTCCTCTTGTGTGTTGCACTACGATCTGGTTTTCGAATTCAAATCGCGGCTGCATTCGCAAATGGCTTACCTGTTCTTTGACAAAGGTATACTGGTATACTGTTTACCAATTCAAACATGCAATTTTCGTGATAAATTTACATTTGTTCAACCAAGTTCTTAAATTTTTGGATTTAAAATTTGAGAACAATCACCCATCTTTCACTTGGTAGCTTCCCTTTATTTCTAGGTTGGGGTGTGGGTTAGAAGGTCTCTATTGTGGTGGCACCTTGAAACTAAGTCACATCATGCACAACGGATCCGAGCAGTGAAGATCTGCCTTTCATTTTTGAAGAGGAACGTAAATCTGAAAACGTCATCGCATCAGCAAGCATTTACCCGTTTGCTATCCGTTTTCTTCCCCATGTCCTATACAAGCCAAAAGCGTTTCAAAAGTTATATTTGTTATGGATGAAGTGTTTTAATCGCGTTTTCAGTTGTCAAAACCATGGTAGGAGCGTTTTTGCGAAGAGCGGAAAAGATTCATGGAAAGCCGTCTCTACCTCATTCTCCGCCAGAAATTCTTCGATATAGGAGATAATAAGGGCTTATTTCGTGATTTCGTATGTACATTTTGTTCTACCTATATTCACCTCATGCGCTACTACATTGTTTTAATCTCCTCGCGATTTTGCTCAATAGTATTAGATAGAGAATCTAATCACGCTAGTAGTAAGTGTCATCGATTCCAAACTCGGGCTCTGTGCCACTGTGGAATCATAGGAACAGTTCCTGCAGAGGTTTTGTATGGCAAAGCCCATGAACTGAAGATGTTGCTCAAAACCACTCAGACGTTCTGATTGGCTTCCATGGCAAACCATAGCCGTGTACGTAGGTGGAAGAAGCAGGACTTCTACAGAATCAGATTTGATTTTCGAATATGTTTGTCATTGCCTTGTGTATTGTTGGTTATAGCACTGATATCATCGTCGAGGAAAGAAGATGAATATCGCAACCATTTTGTATGTTTCAATGCATGATAGAAGCAGCCAAAACTGGGAGAAAATGATCAAATATTTACTTTAATCTATGACTGAACATGAAAATCAACAACATT